ACGATTCAATGACTTGATGGCACAGTGAATTCGATTCTGGGCCTCGTCTATGTACTCTCCGTGGTAGACAACCCCGAAGTGGCCTGGCGAGGGGAGGTGGTGAGAGGGGCCCAGCGCCCGGGGCCCAGACCACACCCTCTCGTGGCAACCAGACCCCAGAGCACCGACTGGCATTAAACACAAGCAGCAGCCGCACCACGGCACAGCCTGCAGCCGCCCAGCCCGCAGGAGCTGCACCAGGACCCACGGAAAACGAACGAATCCCGACCCCACAGAAGAGCAGCCGGAGGCTCAGAGAGGCTCCTTGGTGTGCCCAAGGTCACACAGGAAGGTGAGAAGGCGACAGCCCTGCCCAACTGTCCCCTGAGCCCGTGTCACGTCACAGCCCCCCCGGCCTGGCCCCACACCTTTGCCGATGACTCGGTCACTGTGGGTGACGACGCGCTCATGGGGAATCAGCACATCCTTGACCTCGGCCAGGAGCACAGGGTCCAGATCCCCCAGCTGGATGGACTTTGCCCGAAGCAGCGGGACACGGGACCCGTCCCCGCTGTCTGAGAAGGACGCTCTGTGGCCCCGACAGGTGGCATCCAGACCGTCCCCGGCGGGAGAGGCTGCGGAAGAGAGGGAGTGAGGGGCGGGAGGGGCAAGGCGCTGGCCCCGGCGGCGGAGGAGGGCCCCCTCTCACCAGGGCCATGTCTGTAGTCAGAGCCTGCCCGGAACAGAGACAGAGGCAGGCCTCCGGGGCTGTGGTCCAGAGATGCCAGGTCGTCCAGGTTCGGAGAGAAAGCTGTGGAAGAAGAGCCCTGGTAGGCAGCCTCGCCCCGCTCCTGGAGGCCGACCCCTACCCGGGGCTGGGCAGACAGGGGACGGGGCTGGGGGATGCCATGGTGGAGGTGGCGCTGAGTCGGCCGGCGTGGGTGGGGAGCTCACCCAGCTGCTTCCTCCTCTGGTAGTTGACGACCAGCGCAATGGCCAGGAGAGCCACGAGCAGGACCAGGGCCAGCAGGACACCCAGGAGCGTCCTCTGGAGGGGACCCCCTGGGCCTGGCCGCACCACTCTGCCCAGGACCTGACATTCGCCGTCCACGCAGACCTGGGGGAGGTGGCAGTTCAGACCCAGCCCGCAGACCCCAGCCACGTCTGCGGCGAAGGGTCG